TGAAGTCAACCACAAGAAAAACTTTGGAAGGACCACAGATATATGGAGGCTAAAGAACATTCTACTAAAGAATGAATGGGTCAACCAGGAAATTAAAGAAGAATTTAAAAAATACATGGAAACAAATGAAAATAAAAACACAACAGTTCAGAAACTTTGGGATGCAACAAAGATGGTCCTAAGAGGGAAGTATATACCAATACAAACCTTTCTTGAGAAACAAGAAAAGTCTCAAATACACAACCTAACCCTACACCTAAAGGAGCTGGAAAAAGAACAGCAATCCATACTAAAGATTAAAGCAGAAATCAATGATTTAGAAATCAAATGAACAGTAGAACAAATCAATGAAACTAGGAGCTAGTCCCTCAAAGAATTAATAATATTGATAAACCCCAGCCAGACTTATCAAAAAGAAAAGAGAAAGGACCCAAATCAACAAAATCACGAATGAAAGAGGAGAGATCACAACCAATACCAAGGAAATACAAATAATTATAAGAGAATATTATGAGCAATTATATGCCAACAAATTAGGCAATCTGGAAGAAATGGAAGCATTCCTAGAAACATACAAACTACCCCAACTGAAACAGGAAGAAATTGAAAACCTGAACAGACCCATAACAAGCAAAGAAATTGAATCAGTAATCAAAAATCACCCAACAAAGAAGAGTCCAGGGCCAGATGGCTTCCCAGGGAAATTCTACCAAACATTTAAAGAAGAATTAACACCTTCTGAAACTGTTTCAAAAAATAGAAATGGAAGGAAAACTTCCAAACTCATTCTGTGAGGCCAGCATTATCTTGATCCCAAAACCAAAGAGCCCACTAAAAGGAGAATTACAGACCAATATCCCTGATGAACATGGATGCAAAAATTCTCACCAAGATACTAGCTAATAGGATCCAACAGTACATTAAAAGGATTATTCACCATGACCAAGTGGGATTTATTGCTGGGCTGTAGGGGTGGATCAACAGCTGCAAATTGATCAACGTGGTACACCACATTAATAAAAGAAAAGCCAAGAACCATGTGATCTTCTCAATTGATGCAAAAAGCATTTGACAAAATACAGCATCCCTTCTTTATTAAAATTCCCCACAATGTAGAGATAGAGGGAACATACCTCAATATCATAGAAGCCATATACAAAAAACCCACAATGAATATCATCCTCAATGGGGAGAAACAGAGCCCTTCCCTTAAGGTCAGGAACACGACAGGGATGTTCATTCTCAGCATGTTTGTTCTGCGTAGTACTGGAAGTCTTAGCCTCAGCGATCAGACAGCAAAAAGATGTAAAAAGCATGCAAATCAGCAAAGAAATCAAACTTTCACTCTTCACAGATAACATGATACTCTCTATAGAAAACCCAAAAGACTCCACCAAAAAAATTGTGAGAACTGATACAGGAATTCAGCAAAGTCCCAGGATATAAAATCAATGCACAGAGGTCAATTGCATTTTTATACACTAACAATGAAGCAGAAGAAAGAGAAATCAAGGAATTGGTCACATTTATAGTTGCACCAAAAACCAGAAGATATCTAGGAATAAACCTTAAAGAGGTAAAGAATCTGTACTCTGAAAACTATAGAACACTTATAAATGAAATTGAGGAAGATAGAAATAGAAAAACGTTCCATGCTAATGGATTGGAAGAACAAATATTGTTAAAATGTCTGTGCTACTCAAAGCAATCTACACATTCAATAACAATCTATCAAAATTCCATCAGCATTTTTCACAGAGCTGGAACAAACAATGCTATAATTTGTGTGGAAACAGAAAAGACCCCAAGTAGCCAAAGGAATGCTGAAAGAAAAAAACAGAGCTGGAGGCAACACAATTCTGGACTTCAAGCTGTATTACAAAGCTGTCATCATCAAGACAGTATGGTACTGGCAAAAAAACAGACACATAGATCAGTGGAACAGAATAGAGAGCCCAGAAACGGACCTCAACTCTATGGTAAATTACTCTTCAACAAAGCAGGAAAGAACATCCAATGGGGAAAAAAAAAGTCTCTTCAACAAATAGTGTTAGGAAAACTGGACAGCCACATGCAGAAGAATGAAACTCGGCCACTTTCTTACACCATACACAATAATAAAGTCAAAATGGATGAAAGACCTAAATGTGAGATAGGAATCCATCAAATCCTAGAGGAGAACGCAGGCAGCAACCTCTTCACCTCAGCCACAGCAACTCTTGCTAGACGTGTCTCCAAAGGCAAGGAAAACAAAAGCAAAAATGAACTGTTGGGACTTAATCAGGATAAAAAGCTTTTGCACAGCAAAGGAAATAGTTGACAACACTAAAAGGCAACCTATGGGATGGGAGAAGATATTTGCAAATGCCTTATCATTTAAAGGGCTAGTATCCAAAATCTATAAAGAACTTATCAAACTCAACACCCATAAAACAAATAATCCAGCCAAGAAATGGGCAAAAGACATGAACAGATATTTCTTCATCCAAATGGCCAACAGACACATGAAAAAATGCTCAACATCACTCGGCATCAGGGAAAGACAAATCAAAACCTCAATGAGATACCACCTCACACCAGTCAGAATGGATAAAATTAACAACTCAGGAAACAACAGATAATGCCGAGGATGTGGAGAAAGATACACTGTTGGGAATGCAAAATGGTCCAGGCACTCTGGAGGTTCCTCCAAAAGTTAAAAATAGAACTACCCTATGACCCAGCAATTGCAGTTATCCAAAGGATAAAAACATAGTGATCAGAAGGAGCACTGGCATACCAGTGTTTATAGCAGCAATGTTCACAATAGCCAAACTGTAGAAAGAGCAGTGTCCATTGACAGAGAGTTGTATAAAGAAGATGTGAGGTATAATATACTATGCAATATTACACAGCCATCAAAAAGAATGAAATCTTGCCATTTGCAATGATGTGGCTGGAACTATAGGGTATTATGCTAAGGGAAATAAGTCAGTCAGAGAAAAACAAATATAGATTTCATTCGTATGTGGAATTTAAAAAACAAAACAGATGAACATCGAGGAGGGAAAGGAAAGGAAAGGAAAAGGAGGGGGAAGGAAAGGGAAGGAAAAATAAAATAAGATGAAAACAGAGAGGGAGTCAAACCATAAGAGATTCTTAACTGTAGGAAACAAACTGAGTGTTGTTGAGGGGAGGTGGATGGGTGGATAGGGTAACTGGGTGATGGACATTAAGGAGGGCACTTGATTTTTTTTTTTAAAGATTTTATTTATTTGACAGAGACACAGCGAGATAGGGAACACAAGCAGGGATTTGGGAGAGGGAGAAGCAGGTTTCCCGCCGATCAGGGAGCCCAATGTGGGGCTCGATCCCAGGACCCTGAGATCATGACTGAGCGGAAGGCAGACGCTTAACGACTGAGCCACCCAGGCGCCCCAGGAGGGCACTTAATTTAATGAGCACTGGGTCTTATATGCAACTGATGAAAAACTAAATTCTAGGGCGCCTGGGTGGTTCAGTTGGTTAAGCGACTGCCTTCGGCTCAGGTCATGATCCTGGAGTCCCGGGATCAAGTCCCACATCGGACTCCCTGCTCAGCGGGAAGTCTGTTTCTCCCTCTGACCCTCTTCCCTCTTGTGCTCTCTGTCTCTCATTCTCTCTCAAATAAATAAATAAAATCTTTAAAAAAAAAAACCACTAAATCCTACCCCTGAACATAGTAATACAGTATGTTAACAAAATTGTATTTAAATAAAAAAAGAAAAAAAAAGTAAATTTGCTATAGATACAACAAATATTTTATACCTGCTTTATATCAGAGCCCTATATAAAATTTGAGGGCAAGTAACAAGTATTCCTGTCTCAGTTTAGGTTGCTATGGCAAAATTCCATACACTGTGTGGCTTAAACTGCAACAGTTTATTTCTCACAGGTCTGGAATATTAAAGTCTGAGATCAAAGTGCCACCAGGTCAGGTTCTTAGTGAGCGCTCTCTTGGTTTACAATAGGAAATCTCCTTGTATCCTCACAATGTGAAGGGCAGAGTGAGGAAACAAACTCTTGTCTTAGAAGGACAGGAATCCCATCTTGAGGGCTCTACGTAGGACCTAATTACCACCCAAAGGCCCCACCTACCATTATCACACTGGAGGTTAGGACTTCAGCATATGAATTGGGGACTTAGGGGTGGATATAAACATTTAGTTCCTAACAATCACTGATCCTTAGGAAACTTAAATCTAACAAGAAAGAAGAATGTGTATGGACTAAATATAAAACAATGTGGTAATTAACATTCTGAGATCTGGAGGAAAAGAACAATGAAATCTCCCTGAGTAGTTCAAGGACAAGTACAGTAGTGCCAGGGAAGGGCAGACTGTATCCCTAACAGGTACAGGGTTTGCACTCTCAGGACACAGCCATGTCAGTGGGGACTAGTGACGAAGACCTGCAGAGTCTATTGTATATTTGAAAATAGTTGTTGGAATGATAACTAAAATTGTTAGTAATAATCATCTAACATAATGCTTTTTTAAAATTCTGGATAATGGAACACTACATCAAAAACTAATGATGTACTGTATGGTGACTAACATAATAAAGTACACACTGGATTTTGAAGATTTAGTACAAAAAAACAAGAAGATAAAATATCTCTATTGTTTCGGGTGCCTGGGTGGCTCAGTGGGTTAAGCGACTGCCTTCAGCTCAGGTCATGATCCTAGAGTCCCTGGATCGAGTGCCGCATCGGGCTCCCTGCTCGGCGGGGAGTCTGCTTCTCCCTCTGACCCTTCCCCCTTTCATGTGCTCTCTCTCTCTCAACTAAATAAATAAAATCTTTAAGAAAAATTGTTTTAAAAAATACATATATCTATTGTTTCTATTTATTATATGACAAAAGTATATTTTGGATATTTAGATTAAATACATTAAAATTAATTTTAAAAAATTAAAAAAAAATTTGGATAGTAAGAATAGCTCTTAAAGTTAATAGACTTGACTGTGTCTTTGAATTGTAGGTAAACAGTTTGCTTCCTCTGCAGCAAAGGGAGATTTGGCTGATGGTGACTGATGTCACCCTGCAGATGCAGGATGAGAATAACTCTGGCCTCCCCAAAACCATGCCAGTCTGTGTGGCCCCCTCATGTGTGTTGAGCCAGGAAGTCCTGAAAGCGCTCACCGAGGCTGTCTCTCACAGCTTTCTCTTCAGGGATACTCTCCGAGCCCAGGGTATGCTTTCTTCTTCCTAGCTTTGACCCAGTGGTGACTGATAGGTGCCATAAAATGGCATTGTGGGCTTTGCCTTACTCTGGAACTGCTGGCCCCTTCATGAAGCCAACTGTGGACATGGCACATGGAGTGGAAGAGACCCATGATACCAGCCCTCAGCTTTCACTAGCCCCTGTCATGGGGCTAGAACCTTCACAGAACCAGAACCCCTGCAGTACTGACACTCCCTTGAAAGATGCCATTGGTTACTCAAGGATTGTCTCTTGGTGGCACACATTACAGGTACAGAAGCCACTTGAAGTCATTGCCTGGAACATCACTTTTTAAAACAAACAAAAAGCTAGAACATTATAAATATACACTTAGATCAGTTAGCTCTTTTTTGCCAGGAATCAAACTAGAATCCTGCCCAAACTATATTTTTATTTTATTTTGTTGAGATATAATTTGCATACCACAAAATTCACCTTTCTAAAATGAATTTGAATCTAGTTTTGTGTGCTTTCCCCACTTAGCACACCTGTGACTTTAGCACTTCTTTCTGTACAGTGCATGTGTCATTGGATACAATGGATGGACCTCAAAACTGTGCCCTCTGCCCACAGTGGGGTTGGCAAAGGACACTGTCTTTACTGGCAGGAGAACTCACTTTTTTCTTCAGTGCTTCAATAATCTGAAGTGTCTCTGTTGGCAGGTCGGATTGTTTGTGTTGAACGAAGTGTCCTCTTGCTTCAAAAGCCCCTTTTGGGTGCGGACTCCGGTGCTTGCTCCTGTGAACTGACTGGCCCTGTGAAGCTCAATGAACTGGATTCTTTCACTCAGGTCAACTCCGTTTGCAGCGTTCAAGGTGGGTAGTCAATCCTGGTGGAAATGGTATTTATATTTTTTTAAATACCATACTTCATATTCATTTCATTTATTCAACAAGTTTTTATGTTTGACATGTTCCAAACTTTGGATACCTAAGAAACAAAATCAGAAGAGGTTCTTGCCTCTTAGACTTCTAGTGGGTATAGAAGACCTCAATGAGCTGTGCACACAATCACGTATAGAACTACAATGTTCCAAGTGCTCCATGTGCTGATTGCTGGGGCCTCACCTTGTCAGGGAGCTCACTTAGTCTCCTCAAGGACAGGAGCCTTGTGCTGAGATCTGAAGGATAGGAAGTAGCCAATTAGGTGAATGAGTAGGGGCAGGAAGGATATCTGACAGAAAAAGAATAGGACATATAAAGGCTGCTGACAGGGTAGAGTTGGGGAGCACCATCTGGATGGATGGAATGACCGGAGATTAGGCTGAAGGGCCCAGCCACTGCCCAAGTCAGTGGCCCTAGCAGGAGTGCGCTCTGTCATCGACAGAGAGACGGGTTCTCCAGGTTTTGTCTCTGCAGAGCAGAGTGGAAGGGCCAGGGCCTGGGGTGGTAGCAAGTGGGAGGGCAAGCACCAGTCCAAAGATGTGAGACAAGCGAGGAAGCAAAGTAAATCTGGAAGTGGGTTTAGTTGGGGGAAACAGACAGGTTGGGTAGTGAATTCAGTACAGAGGGAGCAAGGTGTAGATGGAGGGTGAGAATGTATGTGATGACCTCTGAGATTCTAGCTTAGGCAACAAGGCAATGGTAGAGCTGTTCAATGGAGTAGGACATGGTGGAAGAGGCCAGCTTTGAGAGAACAATCTTAGCTCTGTCTTGGAGAGCTTAAGTGTTTTTGATACATCTGAGATGTTTCAGTAGCTGATTTCAGGATCTTAGGGTTCATATATTTTTTAACCAACTTTTTTGAGATATAACTTACATCGCTACAATTCACTCATTTAAAATGTTTTAGTATATTCAGAGTTATGCAACTATCACCACATTGTCGGGACACCTGGCTGGCTCAGTCAGTAGAGCATGCAACTCTTGATCTCAGGTTGTGAGTTTGAGCACCACATTGGGTGTAGAGATTATTTAAGAAAAAGAAAAGAAATCTTTAAAAAGAAACATTGTCATCATCCAAAAAATATACCTCATGCCCATTGTCAATCACTCCCCATTATGCTCTCCCACCCCAGCCCTTACCCTGGTCTTAGGAAAGCACTGATCTACTTTCTGTCTTTATAGAATTGCTTTTTCTGGATATTTTACATACATGGAATCACACATTATATAGTCTTTCAAAATTGGCTTCTTTCACTTGGCATAATGTTTTCAAAGTTATCCATGATGTACCAGGTATCGGCACTTCATTTCTTTTCTTTTCTTTTTTTTTTTTTAGAGATTTTATTTATTTATTTGACAGAGAGAGAGATAGCGAGAGCAGGAACACAAGCAGGGGGAGTGGGAGAGGGAGAAGCAGACTCCCGCCGAGCAGGGAGCCCAATGCGGGGCTTGATCCCAGGACCCTGGGATCATGACCTGAGCCAAAGGTGGACGCTTAACAACTGAGCCACCCAGGTGCCCCAGCACTTCATTTCTTTTTATGGCTGAATATTTCATTGTATGGTTGCACCACATCTTGTTTTATCCATTCATCAGTTGATGGACATTGGGTTGTTTCCACTTTTTGGCTATTGTAAACGGTGCAGCTGTGGATATTTATGGACAAGTTTTTGTTTGAACAACGTGTTTTCAAATTTGGGGTATGTATCTAGGAGTGGAATTGCTGGGTCATATGGGAAACCCTGTGCTTAGCCTTTTTGAAGAAATGTGTAAGTGTTTTCCAAAGTGGCCACACTATTGGTGTATCCTTAATATTAAAAGATATTAATTTCCAGAAAGCATACAAAAATTCACATTTCCAAAAGTAATTTCTAAGAAGGCCTATTTCCTCCAGCCTTGCCCACTGCTAGATTTCTGAATCTTTATAATTTTTATGAATAGCAAAACTCTGATCCTATTCTTGTTGCTTTAATTTACATTCCCCTGCCTGCTTGTGAGATTGAGCACTCATTCATTGTGTTGAGGCCATTTGGATTTTCTTTTCTGTGCATCTTCTTTTAGTGTTAGTACCAAAACATAACTAAGATTGTGATTTGAAATGAGAAATGAGAGCAGTATAGCCTAGTGGTCCCGAAGAAAGCAGACTCTTAACAAGCCACCTGTCATCTGGGTCTTCTATTTTCTCATCTGTAACACAGGGCTAATAGAATACACCTTAAAGCACTGTTGAGGATTAAATAAGATAATGCACATGAGGCTTTGGGGGCTTGGAGCACTCACAGAGTAGTGGAGAAGGATGACATCTCAGTGCTTCCACTTCTACAGACCAGGAGGGCTGGCTGAGGGCAAGAGCCAGTGAGGCAGTAGGTAGGTGGCCTTGGGACTGTTAGGATTTGTCAGACAGAGTGGTGAAGGTCTTCCAGACAGATGAAGGCCATATGGAAAACCCACAGAGGTGCCAGGGGCAGTTGTAAAAGCTTTATGTGCTGGAGGAGGCAGGGCCTTCTTGGGATGGAGTTGGCTCTGTCTTGTTCTGCTATTCCCAGAATGCTAAGGAGGTTGTATGATCAATTTGTTTTCTTAAATGAAGCAATTCTGTCACCATAGATAGACTATGGTACAAAGCTGGATTCATTGCTGACAGGCTGTTTGGAACTGTGCAGGGAAGGAAGGACTGAGAGTCTGCAGAGGCTAAGTGGACTGTGGGGGTTTCCAAGAATTGGCTCTGCTGGGCCCCTGGGCACAGGCTGTGAGGACAGGGCACAGGCTGTGAGGACAGCGCACAGTGCAGACACACGCCCTGCAGCAGATGCTCTGTGCACCTGTCCTTGTCACTCTGCCCACAGCCTGCTACCGCCTACACATCTCCACCAACTCCAGGGGCCTCCCTTCCACCTTCATTTTCTTCACTGGCTGCCATCTGTTCTCGTCCCACCCGTCACCTCTCTCAGAGCCCAGGATTGGTCAGGGGCTCAGAAGAGAGAGAAGGGTGTGGGAACAGTCTCCCAGCAGTGTTCTCTGCCCCACATTTGAGAGGGACCACCACCCATCCACACTGCTTAAGCTGCATGGGACCCTGGAGCACTTGGATGGCTCAGTTGGTTGAGCATCTGACTTTTGATTTCGGCTTAGGTTGTGATCTCATGGGTCGTGGGATCGAGCCCTGCTTCAGGTTCAGTGCTCAATGTGGAGTCTGCTTAAGATTCTCTCCTTCTGCCCTGCCTCTCTCTCCCTCTCTCAAATAAATAAATCTTAAAAAAAAGAAGCTATATGGGACCCTGTTAATTATAAGACCATAAGAATCACCACCACCCATAGCACCGTATTATGAGAAAATATGTACCTGAAGAGTTTGGCTTCTAAAGGAGGGTTTGAAACCTAACCCATTATCCATAGCCAGCGAATGCCACAGAGATGCAAAAAGAGGAAAACGTGTAGATTCTTGTGGGGAAAGAGAAGACCTAATTTTTCTAGTTTCTGAAGAACATATTTTTTTAAAATAATAATTTATAGGTGGGATTTATAAAATTATAACCATTTCAAAAATTGTCCATACTACCCAAAGCAATCTACAGATTTAATGTTATCTCTGTCTAAATACCACAACATTTTTCACAGAACTAGAACAAACTCTCCAAAATTTTGTGTGGAACCACAAAAGACCCCAAATGGCCAAATCAGTCTTGATAAAGAAGAACAAAGCTGGAGGTATCACAATCCCAGCTGTAGGTATCTACAAAGCTGTAGTTATTAAAACATACTACTAGCACAAAATACTAGCACAAAAATAGACACATGGATCAAGGGAACAGAATAGAGAGCCCAGAAACAAACTCATGCTTATGTGGTCAATAAACCTATGACAAAGGAGGCAAGCATACACAGTGGAGAAAGACTCTCTCTTTAACAAATGGTGCTGGGAAAACTTTCTTATACACAAAAGTAAATTCAAGTGGGTTAAAGACCTAAATGTGAGACCTGGAACCATAAAACTCCTAGAAGAAAACATAGGCAATAATTTCTTTGACATTGGCCATAGTAACGTTTTTCTAGGTATGTCTTTTCAGGCAAGGGAAACAAAAGGAAAAATAAACTATTGGGACTACACCAAAATAAAAAGCTTTTGCACAGCAAAGGAAACCATTACCAAAATAAAAAGGCAACTTACTGAATGGGAGAAGATATTTGCAAATGATATAGCCAATAGAGGGTTAATATCCAAAATATATTAAAAAACTTATATAACTCAATACCAAGAAAACAAATAATCCCATTAAAAAATGGTCAGAGGACCTGAATAGACATTTTGCCAAAGAAGACATCCAGATAGCCAAAAGACACATAAAAGATGCTCAACATCACAAATCATCAGGGAAGTGCAAATCAAAACCACAATGAAGTATCACGTTATACTTGTCAGAATGGCTAAAATCAAAAGTATAAGAAATAACAAGTGTCAGTGAGGATGTGGAGAAAAAGGAACCCTTGTGCCCTGTTGGTGGGAATGCAAATTAGTGCAGCCACTGTGGAGAACAGTACGGAGATTCCTCAAAAATTAAAAATAAGGGGTGACCAGATGGCTCAGTCAGTTAAGTGTCCAACTCCTGATTTTGTTCGGTTCATGATCTCAGGGCCATGAGATTGAACCCCACATCGGGCTCTGTGCTCAGTGGGGAGTCTGCTTGAGATTCTCTCCCTCTCCCCCTCCCCTACTTGTGCGCATGCTCTCACTCGCTCTCTCTAAAAATAATAAATCTTTTTAAAAATTAACAATAGAATTACCATATGATCCAGTAATTACACTATTGGGTATTTATCCAAAGAAAACAAAAACACTAATTTAAAAAGATATATGCACCCCTATGTTTATTGCAGTATTATTTATAATAGCCAAGATATGGAAGTAACCCAAGTGTCCATTGATAGATGAA